GGGAGGCTGAGGCAGGAGACTCGCTTGAGCCCAGGAGTTGGAGGTTGCTATGAGCTGTGATGCCATGGCACTCTACCCAGGGGGATAGCTTGAGGCTCCGCCTCAAAAAAAAAATAAATAAATAAGCTTTCCTGTTAGCAGAAATTACATACTGTGTTGGTCAGCTGTGATTTTAGCTTGATTCCTGGTAAATCTCATTTGGTTTCTTTTTTAAAAGGTTCTAGAATTTTAGGTACATGTTAGTTTGCATTGCTGCTGCTATTTACTGTTTTATTTGATCCTGTCTTAGGTTGATCTTTACTCGAAAGGGGGTACTCCGTGTGGAGGGGTTTCTGAGCCCCCAGCAAAGTGACCCTGATGCCATGAACCTGTGGATTCCCTCTTCCTCCCTAGCAGAAGGGATAGACCTAGAGACCTCAAAATACATCCTGGCCAATGTTGGAGACCAGTTCTGCCAGCTTGTAATGTCTGAGAAGGAGGCCATGATGATGGTGGAGCCACACCGTAAGTCACTCTTTTGCTTGTCCTACAGGCTCTCCTAGTTAGAAACACTTTCTTTTGCTTAAAGCGTGCATGGAGTCAGAGGGGAAGTGGCAAATGGCATTTTCTGTGGATGAATTGATAAGACTTTTCTTTCTTTCTTTTTCTTTTTTTTTGAGACAGAGTCTCACTATGCCACCCTTGCTACAGTACCTTGGCATCACAGCTCACAGCAACCTCAAACTCTTGGGGTTAAGCAATTCTTTTGCCTCAGTCTCCCAAGTAGCTGGGACTACAGGTGCCCACCACAACGTCCAGCTATTTTTTTTTTCTTTAAATTGTAGTCGTCATTGTTATTTAGCAGGCCCTGCCCAGGCTCAAACCTGCCATCCTCCGTGTATGTGTCTGGCACTGTAACCACTGAACTATGAGTTCTGAGCCGATAAGACTTTTCTTTATAGCATCTGTAGTCAAGACCTAAACTATATTCGACAGACCTCATTTTTTCAGTTTTTGTCAATTAACAAATTAAAAATGCTTTCTCTGCTTGCCTTTCATTTTTTTTTTTTTTTTTAGACGGAGCCTTAAGCTATCCCCCTGGGTAGAGTACTATGGCATCACAGCTCATAGCAACCTCCAACTCCTGGGCTCAAGCGAGTCTCCTGCCTCAGCCGCCCAAGTAGCTGGGACTACAGGCGCCTGGCCATTTTTTGGTTGCAGCCATCATTGTTGTTTGGCGGGCCCGGGCTGGAGATTCGAACCTGCCACCTTAGGTGTATGTGGCTGGCGCCTTAGCCGCTTGAGCCACAGGCACCGAGCCTTGCCTTTCATTTTTGTAGGATGACTGCCCTAACATACATTTGAATCCCTGTTTGGGTTTAGTTCACCCTGAATATTTTCAGTTTGCTTTGAATCAGTTGGTGTTAATGAGTGATACTCTGTGCTTTGTGAATAGGTCAAGTGCTACATGGTGCCATCTTTCATACCTAGAATCTACATTATTCAGACATTTATAATATTTTCATGTCTACAAGTTACTGTAGCCTATTTCCAGACTAAGGAAAAATTATACTATGAAATTATTCCTTAAAATTCAAGAGAAGAATCTTCTTATTTCATGCTCCTCCCAACTGAAAATTGTACATAACTTAAGTGACAACAAGTGACATTAGTCCCTCATTGAACCTAGGTTATATGCTAGTGTTACTATAGGACCTCGAAATATCATTATGTTATAAGATAAATAAGTTGTACTATACATACATACTAGAAATTCCTTGTATTTCTCTTAGAATTATAGAAACACAAACTTTTTTTTTTTTTTTT